TCACATTCACTTACCACTCAACTCACGGAGTCATCCAGGGCAACTCCCAGTTCTGCACACTCCATTCATGGTAAGTGCCCCATGTGATCTACCCATTTTTATCCTTTATACTGTATTTTTACTGTACCTTTTGATGTTTGGATACACTTACCATTGTCTTACAGCTGCCGGTAGTGTTCCACACAGTCTCATGGAGGTTTGCAGTCTAAGAGTCACAGGCTATACCATATAGTAGGTTAGACCACCTAGGTTTGTGTAAATCACTCTGTGATGTTCTCATGGCAAAGAAATGTCCTAACGACTCATTTCTCAGAACATACCCCGGTCGTTGAGCAACTGTGTGTGTGTGTGTGTGTGTGTGTGTGTGTGTGTGTGTGTGTGTGTATAAAACTGTAATCGTGGTTGTTTTTTTTTTTAATTTTGTCAGCATTGATATTCACTATTATGATATGGAGTTTTAAAATCAGAACATAGACTTTCCTTCTATAAAAGCATCTACATTTATCCTCTGAGATATCTTCCCTGTCATGTTATTGCCTTTTAATTTTCTTCCTTTTATCTGGAGATCTAATTCACATTCCGTGTAAAGTGTACAATTTAGTGGTTTTCAGTACATTCACAGAGTTGTGTAACTGTCACTACAATGTATTTTAGAGCATTTTCATCACTCCAAAAGAAATCCACATTAGTTAACTGCCACCCCCTAACACTTCTGTCCCTGTCATTTGAATTTGGGAAGATGTCATGGCCCTCAAAAGCAGCTGTGTCTGTTATATCCCCACCAAAAGGCCATCGATGCCTGTTTCCTTGTGCTCTTCATACTTGTCAGCCCTGTCAAGGAAAAATGATTTCTTGCTTCGTTTCGCCTGTATTTAATCATGCATGGTGCTGAGTTTCTTGGTTGTTTGTTTCTCCTTTCTGTGAACTTCTTCATAGACCAACTCTAAATATAAGCAAGCATCAATGTCACTGCTTTATTTGATCTCATCCACGGGTACAGGCCACATGGGGCAAAGGCTGCTGGGAAGCTGGTTCACCTCCAGTTACAGAAGTAAGGGAGCCCTCCAAAGGGCCTCTCCAAAGTCTGCAGGGGGCTCCTTCCCTGGGGTGGTCCCAGGATACAGGATTGGGCCCATGTCTTCATCTGTAGGGCGACTCTATGGTTTCTCCCAATGTGGATTAAATTTTGCTTCTCTGCTTGCCTTAATTTGACTTTGTCTCAATCCATCATCCATCACTGCTTTTTTAATTGACATCGTATGGTCTTTGTTCTATTCTGTTAAAATCTAGTCATCCCAGGATACACCTATCTCTATAAATGCACCTCTCCCCTAGGCTGAATCCTGAGAGCTTTGTTCACTAGCTCAACTCTCTGGTGGAATCCTGGTAACTTTTTTTTGGCTGGAGAGTCTTTGAAGAGAGCTGGAACTCAGGTATAATCAGGAGCCCAGAACTCTCGACATGTCCTCACCACTGCCACCAGATTTGAGCCACAAGCACACCAGTCACGGTCAATTAAGTTCCTTTTGTGGGGACCATAGCATCCAGTGATCAGAGAACTCTGAGGCTCCTCCCCCATGACCTCCCCACCAGACCCTGATCAAGTCTGCCTTTCAAACGAAATGTATCAGCAGGCAAGCAAAATGCCAGCTTCCTATGTGGTCAGAAGCTCAGTGCCTTCCAGCTCTTTGTTCCTTAAATATATCTCACCTAAAAGATTTCCTTCCAGCAGATGTATTACTCCCAGACAATACTATAGATATTCAGATATCCAATAATGATAATAATTAGTTGGATACCCAAAATGGGTCATTTTTTAACACCCTGTCCTCTATACCATAAAATTATTTTCAGTATCACCATGTAATAATCAGTAATATGCATTATTTTCCTGAGTGGCTACATAAACTATTTTTATTTATTTTTATTATTTATTTATTTATTTATTTTTTGAGTTGGAGTCTCACTCTGTCACCCAGACTGGAGTGCAGTAGCCGCTCCCAGCCACCGCAGACTCGACCTGCTGGGCTCCAGCGATCCTTCCACCTCAGCTTTCCAAGTAGCCAGAACTACAGGTGCGTGCTACCACGCCTGGTTAATTTTTTATTTATTGTAGAGACAAGGTCTCATTAAGTTGCCCGGGTGGGTCTCGAACTCGCGGACTCAGGCAATCCACTTGTCTCGGCCTCCCAAAGTGCTGGGATTACAGACTGAGCCACCAAACCAGGCCTACATAAGCAATTTAAAAAGAAGAGATGCCCTTTTTAAAGATATCATTCAGATGTATTAATTGAGAGGAACACAGTGCTGCTTCTATAATATTCCTGCCACACATGCACAACCTGAATCTAATAAGGAAAAAACATCAGACATATTACATTGAGAGTCTACGAAATTCCTGGCCTGTCATTTTTTAAAATGTCAAGGTTCAGAAAGTCAAGGAAAGACCGAGGAACTGCCCCAGCCTGAAGGAGACTAAGGAGACAGTGCAACGCGTGATTCAGGACTGGATTCTTTTTCTAGAAAGGACTTTTTTGGAACAATGGGTGAAACTTAACAGGGTCTGAGCATTGAGGAGACCATTGTAGCAATGTTTATTTCCTGATTTTTGAGGACAGCACTGTGATGAAGTGGGGTAATGTTCTTATTTGTAGGAAATATAGACTAAGGAAGGTGGGGTTGATAGGACCGCAAGTCAGCATCTTATGCTCAAATGGTTCTAAAAATTAGTAAGTGGGCCAGGCATAGTGGGTCAGCCTATAATCCCAGCACTTTGGGAGGCCGAGGTGAGAGGATTGCCTGAGCCTGGGGGGTTTGAGACCAGCCTGGGCAACTTGGTGAGACCTTGTCTCTACAATAAAGCACACACACAAAAAACCTAGCTGGATGTGGTAGTGTGTGTCTGTAGTTCCAGCTACTTGTAATGCTGAGGCAGAATGATCACCTAAGCCCAGCAGGTCGAGGTGGCTGTGAGCATGCCGCTGCACTCCAGCCTGGGAAATAAGAGTGAGACTCCAACTCAAAAAAAAAAAAAGGTAATTTGTACAATGATGCCCTTGTACCGCACTTCTAACTTTTCTGTGTTTGTGATTTTTTTTGGCATGCAAATTTTTAATAGTTATACTGTGTTAAACAATCATTTTTTTATTTTAAAGATGTGGGATACAATTCAAGATTAGGTACGTAAGTGGTCATCATGCAGGTAAAGTTTGGGTACTCTTATGTACCACCCCCCCTGTAGTGTTCTGCCACTGCTGATCCCTTTCTTATAGTATTATGATAAATGTCCAAGGTCTACTTATGAGTGTGAACATGTAGTACTCAGTTCTTTGTTTCTGTGATAGATCACTGACTATGAGAGACTCTAAATCCATCCAAGTAGCTGCTGTGTTTGTGATTTTTAAAACAATGAGAAACCCTCAAAAGCTCAAAAACCTGAACAATAATTATCGCAATTATTAAGCACTTAGACCAACAAAAAAGCCTTTTGTAAGGAGGTGTGTTCATTCACCAACTTTGTTTAGAATTGTTGGTGCAAGACGGTCAAAAAAGTTAGAGGGCTTTTAAAGTTGGTTTGGTTTTCACTTTTAAATTTTCTACCCACAATGCATCCTCTCACTGCCTACACGTGGCGTGGACAGTTCCCAGCCCCGCCCTCAGTATGCCGGGATTGCATTGGCAGATGGGAATCCTCCATTCAATGGTGGGAAGATGGACACTGGACCAATGGCAGCCCTCGGTTGACGGGACCAGTGAGGCTGCCAGGCTGGCCAGAGTCTTACACGCCATTCACACAGGGTGAGGGGCCTGTAAGATATCTAGCCAATCCCCCATTCATTTCACCCGGGGGGGAGGGAGGGGGGGAATTAACATTCCTCACGCTAATTAAGCTCTCAGTACCAAATGCAGTAAAGATGACCTTGAATTTGTTGCTTCTTTAGGGCGGGACATCTGATTAGTGTGTTTCAAATGCTGTCTAATGCCCTGGGCTATATATTCCTGATCACAGCTAAAAAACCCTCGGGTGTGGGTTACAGTTCATCATCCCCTGCACCTGCTCACTCTGCTTTAAAGCAAATGCCAGAGTCTCCCAGCTGGGAGCATGGAGCAGAGAGCATGGTAGCTCGATCTTTGTGCAATGTACATGATGTGTGTGTGCACCTTGGTGCACACGTGTGTGTGTGACCAGCTCCATTGGACAGACACAATGGATTGTCAAGGTCTTGGCAGCAGGTGTGCAGTTCAGGAAGAGATCTTTAGAGTAGAAGTGTCGGGCCCTTGCCCACAGCACAGGGAGACACACGCACTGAGATGATGTGGGGTCAGAGAAGGGGTGGCTGCCATCCTGTCTCACGCCCCGCTAGTGGCTCATCCACTCAAAGCGAACTCTGTGATTAGGGGTGGAATGTCTATGCAAAAGGTGTACTGGGTAGTAAAGTTTTGGGGTACCTGAAAGGACTCCCACATACCTTCTCTGAGCTCATCCTGCTTGGCATTTCAGCCAGGAGAGAATGGCCGTGGCTGCCAGATCCCGTTCCTATCTGCAGCTTCTGTAGTGTACAGCCCTCAAGCCCTGATGGACCCACGAGACACCCGGGGTCCTTGCTAAAAGCCTTTAGATCCTGAGTTTCCGCCCGAGGGCTGTGATTCACTCAGGGTGCTCTTGGAAGTCCACGTTTTTCATGGACACCCAGTATCCTTGATGTCTGTGGTCCATGGACCTCTCTGCTCTAGGGGCCTTGCAATCAGAAAGCCCCACCTTGAAGCTTTCTCCACACTCAGGATGGCCTTGGGCAAGTGCCCGGAGTACGTGGCATCTGGCATCTGCTTTGAGGATCCTGAGGGTTGGGAGGGAAGCTCTTTCCACGCAGGGCAGCCCTGCGATGTCAGGGTGCCTTGTCCTGTTGACTGCTGGCTTCCGTGATCTGACTGTGGAGACCGAGTCTCTTTTCCGTGCCTCCCACCCAAGTGTCTGAGCAAGATCTCTGCTTTCTGCCCAGCCTTCCATACAGTCAGGTGTGAGAAGCTGCAGAAGGAGAAGGAGGAGCTGGAACGGGGCTTCGAGGACGAGGTGAGGAGGCTGGGCTGGCAGCAGCTGGCCGAGCTCCAGGAACTGGAGGAGCGGCTGCAGCTGCAGTTCGAGGCGGAGACGGCACGCCTGCAGGACGAGCACCGCGACCAGCTGCTGCGGACTCAGTGTCAGCACCAGGAGCAGGTCAGTCTGGGGCGGGGACAGCGGCGGGGTGACCCCGGGGCGGGGTGGCAGGTGGAGGGGAGCTGGCGCCGGTAGCAAGAAGTCCCGTTCCGTAGGTGAGCTTTGTGCCAAGTTTGCTCTCCAACCTCCTTTCTTCTTTCTCCCCCCTCCTCGCCTCCCTTCCAGCCACTCTGGCCTCCTCAGACTTCCCTGGGCTTTAATACTGCACCCTCTGCTAGGAATGCTCTCCCTCTAGACACAGCATGGCTCCCTGTCTCCCTCCCTTCCAGACTTTTCTCCAAGGTCACCTTCTCAGTGAGGTCTTTATCTAAAATTACAATTCCTTCCCTCACCGCGTACATACTCTTCTGTCCCCCTCCCTGTGTTAGTAATGATCACTGACATAGTGTAAATGTTGATCACTGATCACCAACATAGTATAAGTGTTGCTTTTGTGCCTTATTGATCATACGCTTATTCCACGAGGGCAGAAGGAATAACCAGCAAATAACAGCACTGGTTCTGCACTGGACACTGCTTTGAGCGCTTTACATGAACCAATGCATCAAATCCCCACAATCCCCCAAAGAATCCCCTCATTATTCTTTCTTTTTAAATTTAATTACTTAGAGGAGGGGTCTTGCTATATTGCCCAGGCTGATCTCGAACTCCTGGGCCCAAGCCATCCTCCTGCCTCAGACTCCCAGGTAGCTGGAACTATAGGCATGTGCTACCAGGCCCAGTATGTACCACACTTATCCCTAGTTTACAGGCAAGAAAACCGAGTCCCTGAGGTTACATAACTTGCCAGATTTCACAGAGCTGGTCATGGAAAAGACAGGGGTGAACCCTGTCTGACTTGACAGTCGATACTCAACCACTGAATTGGAATTGCCTGCTGGGTTTTCCGCTGGATGTCTGGTACCTGGTGCCTGTAGAGTAAGCAGTCGATATCTGCTTGCTGAATGAATGAACGAATGAGTGAATGCCAATGGTGAATCTTAGCCCAGCAATTTTACTGGGTAGAAAAACGCATCCATGGACTAACCAGAGGCTGATTCCCAGAGGACCGGTCAGTACGAAGGCGGGAAGGAGCTAGTCGCACACTCTCCCTTCCCCTGCCCCATGGGCCATGTCCCTGGCCGTCACTGCCATTAGTGCTGGTGAGAGACAGGTGACAGGGTGACGCACCAACCCTGCTTCCACAAGAACTGATCCTGTCCTTTTCTTTCTAAGTTCTCCAACTCTGATGCCTTAATCTCCACCGTCTAATGGGTGTGTTGTTTTATCTCAAATGCTCATGCCACGTCTAAGGGAAGTTGACATCTGTGAAGATCACCCTTTAAATCCCACATGACACTCAGGTTAGTGTTGCGTGGCCTCTCCTTATCGAAACTCTTTGCGCCGTCCTCCGTGGCTGCTTCCAGATAGACAGCCCAGGTGGCAATACTCCTCAGCCCCTTCCCACTGCCCCAGAGATCTGAGAATCTTAGCAGGCACAGGAGAAATTTAAGAGCCTTAAGTACCGCCCCTGTCATGAAAAATCTCTATTTTACAGCATTTTATTCTTGACAGCATTTCACGTCCATCGTCCTTCTTTTCTAGAGGTCTGTAAAAAACGGACACATCTCTCTGGTTGAGGTGGTTTAAACTTAGAGACTGGGAAATACAATAGGTTGCAGCTAAAGTTACCTGTAGGGTGTTAAGGTTAGAAACTGAACCCCCAGCGCCGTCCCTCCGAGGCTCTCTGCGTGGGACTCCTGTAAGAAGACATTGATACCTGCTGCTATCTACAGTCTTACCCGTTACATGGCCCCTTTGTATATTTCAGTCCTGTTGCAGATATCAGCGTGTTCTGTGCCTCTGCATTCCTGGGCTGTTCACTCCCAGTTTTATTCAGAGAACATATTTATAAGGAGGACCCCCAAAACCCCAGAATTTATTTATAAAAAATTGTGCATTTATCCTTACGTGGTTAAACTTCGATCACCTTCAAAGTACTCTCCGTTTGATGCAATACACTTATTGAGATACTTTTTGCACTGCTCAAAACAGTTTTTGAGCTCGTCTGTTCTGATGCCTTTTAGTGCTTCTGCCATTTTTTGTTTTGCCTCTTCCACATCAGCAAAATGTTTCCCTTTGAGGATTTTTTTTCCTCTGGGGAAACAAGAAAACATTGCTCGGGTGAATAGAGAGGGTGGGGCATGGGGGTCAAGCCATTTCTGGTCCCAAACTGCTGAACACTCAGCGAAGTGTGGGCAGGTGAGCTCGTAAGTCACCCATCAAGAAACGGGCAAACATGTTGAAAGAATCTCCAAAAAAAATTCACTGAAGCCAAATGCAGCCTCTCACAATAACGCTAGCTGGTACATTGATGCTGATGGGTTCCTGTACTACTAGGTGCCTGCCTGCCAAAAGATTATTCTGGGTTTTTTGGGGGAGGGGTTCCCCCTTGTATAGCTGTATTTACCAAAGGCTTCTGGTTCAAAGGTCTAGGTGGGTTGAGAAGATGCCGGGAGGTGAGGGGGAAGGGCAAGAGGTGGACAGGAGCCCCCTGAACAACGGTTCACGTGGTGGGGCCACAGAGCTGAGGCCGCTACTGAGTGGAATCTGTCCACCAGCCCTCACCTGTGCAGATGCATGTGCCAGGAGACGTGTTCTCACCTTCCCTTAAGCTGGGACACAACAGTCTTTTAGAGATTTCGGACTGTGAGCAATGAAAGGAAGAGTGCCCCTGACTTCTCCACGTGAGACAGAGCTATATCTGCTTCCTGGGCATATTTTTTAAGTGTTTCATCTTAGGAGGGCTCTGAGCTCTGTTCTTGATTTGTTATGATCGCTAGAGCCATGTATTAATATTTCTATTGGCTCATTCGCCTGTGCACAGAAGATAGAGCAAATGTCAACTGTACACAGGCAGCATGACTGGTTACTACAAGAGATACGAAGATTTATAAACTGTGGGCTTGTTTATTCCACCGGGGAAGCTTCAAGACGAGTGCCCAAGGAACGATGACACGGGTGAGACTTCAGATGATGTGTTTAGGAATGGAGAGTATGCTCCCAGCTGTGAGGATCAGGAAGGGCGTGATGGCAGAAATAGCATCCAGATGGCTCACAGTAGAGGAAATCCTTGCTGTAGGAGCCCACGGGTTTGGAGGGACCCATGAGTCGAGTCTAAGAACTCTTTGGGCCCCTGATTCCATTCCTGCTATAGAATGTTGACTGTTTCCCAACCTCCAGATTCTCCAGTAAAGAATGAGGGAGGAGATGGCCAGTGTTCTCATTTCCAGAGGGAATAAATGCTCACATGGGTGACTGACATGGAGATGTGGGTGACCCGTGGCTGCAGTGACCACACTGGACCCTCCACTCTTGGGGCATCCTTCTCAGGGACGGTCACACTGGGCGGTGTCAACTCCAAGAACAACACCATCTGGGTTGTTCCAGAGCTTTGAATATCAGGTTTACCTGTCTGGCATCACCTCACAACCCAGTGCCTCCGCCAACCCCACAGCTGGCAGCAGAGGGGGCGCTACTTCAGTTCTGACATGTAGAACACATAGGATTTCCTGAGGCATCACCCTTTATGCAGTTTGGGACTCGCTGGCCGAGGCAGGCTGTCCCGTCTTGACAAAACCTGCCAAATCTTCCCTCTTAGCTTCCCACAACCTCACAGGACAAGGACTGTCTCTCTGTCCATGATCGCTGCTCTGCTGAACACGGGAGGCACCCGGAGAACTGGCAAACCCCTCCCCCGCCCTCCCCCTATAGAAATTGAATCAGAACCTCTGGGTGAGGCCTGGCATCGGGTAGTTTTCGAAAGCTCCCTGCGGGGGTTTCCCTGTGCAGCCCCGCCCAGACCCATGAGGGCCATGGGAGGTGTGGGACCTTGTTTCTCAGCCTGGCGGGCTCTTGTGGGGGTTGAGGGTGTTCTTGCATCCTGGCCTTCTTAAGGGAGTTCAAAGACATGGTACAACTCTAAAAAGTGTGATGATGGAAGTGTTAGAGAAAATCAGCTTTCATTCCATCACAAGTTGTACATTACATTAACAGACACCAAATTGCCACAGTACGGGACACAGACTCCCTGACACACAAAACAGGCTCGCAGAAAACACTCAGTAGTTTCCTTTTTGCCCCAAACATAGTTCCTTCTCCATGCAGCCTCCAGTCCTTCTGCTGGGCTGCCTTTGGCTGTTCCCACATGTAGGCAGCCGCAGAGTCTGGAGCTCTAGGATCAGACCTGTGATCTTGACCTCATTCCCTTAAGACCCTTTGGCAGCTTGACTGAGTCCATGACTCGCTTTGGGGACCTTGGGACCTGGATGCATTCTGGGTCCTGCCCCATGAAGACTACGCAGAGACCCCTTCTTATAGCAAGTGGCAGGGCTCATCTTTGGTTTAAGTTTGCTTTGTCTCATATCTAGAATGCACTGTCTCTGCTTTCCTACATAAACCATCCTTGTAGACTAAACGACAGGAAAGCCATCCCACGAGAATGCGAATGTACAGAAAGCACTTTGTCTGTCACTTTACATTATGTCCCCTCAGCCCTCCCGCCCAGCAGGCTTACAGCTGCCGGTGGCGGAAACCACCCCTCTTTAATCAAATAGAGTGAGATCCCCCGAGGCCCTCCATCCCTCCATCCCTCCATCTGCCAGCCCCAGAACCCTCACCCATCTCGGGCCTGAGTTTCCACGTGCTGGGAGGAGGCGGTGCAGGGAAGATGCCCATGTTGTAGGCTGCACAGGAGACCAAAGCCACATCCTGGAATGGGATACAGGTGGACAGAAAACTTGGGCATGGCTAGCCACCTGCTCTGAGCCAGTGTCCCAGATGTTGCAGCAGGGACCAGAGGAAGGAGGATCTTCTCATGATCTGAAAAGGAAAGTCATGAAGAGAGTGCTGGAGAGAGTGAGCAGGGGTGAGTTTCCTCTGTCTCATCCCACGTGGATGCGAGTCAGGGATGGGAGCAAATGGAAGTTTAATCTGGTTTGGGTTTAATGAGTCAAGCCCAGACCACGGAAAGCACATGCTTCTTCATTTGAAATGCGGGTCTTCTCCAAGTGGATGGCCAAAGCCCTGGATAATTGCATCCTGCAAATGGCTGAATGGTGTGAATCCTGCAGCTCTCTTCTGACCTATCCGAGGGGGCTCCTCAACCCTGTCCTCTGCTGTCACTCAGCTCAGCTGAAGAGCAAGCAGCTGTAGGGATGGGGTCGTGACACAGGGAACAGTTGCTTCTCCGTAGAATTGGGACTGCTGGATGGGCAGTTTGAGACTCCTCCATGACGTGGCCCAGAAAGAGGAAGGAAGGTGGTCCAGGGGTGGTCTAAGGGGTCCCAACCCAGGTTTCTAAAAGGAAGAGAAGGATGTTTCGGGCAGTATTATTTTGCCATAAGCCAATAATGGTTGTGCCTTTTGACTCTGATTTGGTGATCTACGGTGCATAGGATAATCTTGTGAAGGTTTCAAGGTCTTCTCAAGTTGGGAATTCTTACTAGTGCTTCCTGAATATGAACTCGTGCTCTAGAAAGAAGTCAGGAACCACAAGAGAAGTTAGAGGGATTAATACTATGACAAGGAGGAAGATGGCCAACAGTAGACAGCCTCTTCTTCATTGAGAGAACATTTTTGAAAACCCTTAGAGATGCGTGAAACCTACATTACTGAAGAGCAAAGCTGATTGTGTTCAGATTTTCGTGCGGGAGCTCTCTTTGGTTTCCTGCCAAACATACTGGGCATTTGTCCAATTCCATATGAACTTTCAGAGTTAGGAGAGCAGGATTTCATTCATAAAAGCACCTCTGAGAGTCCGTCATAGATATAATCCTAGATGTGTGGAGCATGGCATTTCATCACTGCTAAGTCAAAGACATGCCTTCCAACAAACCAGAAAGACATACTTTGGAGCCACAAACATAATGTGGTTCCTCCAGGAACATGAGATTCTTTCGGAACTTAGTCCTCCATTGGTCTCTCTTTTCTGAAACTACCTGTGGTCATTTGTGTAACAGCCCAGTAAATTAGAATCATACCAAGGACTAAGGAAAGATGTGTCATTCTGCTGAACTGTGTGGCAATCCTTCAAACAGTGTGTGGATACTTGTTTCTACAGACAGTGTGCTGTGGACTAACAGACATCACTGATGGAGCAGAAAGAAAATATATTTCCTTGTTGTTTTTTTAAACAGGGTTTATTGAGGGAACAGAAGCACTCCCACAGTGGGAGGAGACCCAAAGGGGTTGCCTCCTTGTGTTTTTTTAAACCAGTAATTTATTTTTCCAACAGACTGAAAGACTTTGGACAAAAATTCCATAAAAACCTCCTATAGACAGGAATTGGACAATTAAATACTGCTATAATCAGGCTGTGCATGGTGGCTCACGCCTGTGATCACATCACTTTGGGAAGCCAAAGAGGGCGATTGCTTGAGCCCAGGAGTTTGAGACCAGCCTGGGCAACATAGTGAGACCCTCGTCTTTACCAAAAACAAATTAGCCAGCTATGGTGGTGTGCGCCTGTCATCCCAGCCACTTGGGAAGCTGAGGCAGAAGAAATGCCTGAGTCCAGGAATTCGAGGTTGTCATGAGCTGTAATCATGCCACTGCCCTCCAGCCTGGGCAACAGAGTGAGACCCCCAACTCTAAATAAATACATACATAAATAAAAATACTGTTGTAATCTGCCTTTCTACTGAGTGGATTCATAGCCCTGAGCCTTACATAAAATACTGATTAAATAAAGAATGGCCAGAAAATAAGTGTGGTCACTTGTCAACCTCTTTCATTTCACACTCTGATGTGGCGTCCCACTGTTAATGCCGCCCGGTGATATTTCTGTTATAAGGGATGACGTTCCCATTTACCACAGGAGAAAGAAGTCAGGAAAAATTCCCCATTCAGAAAGGGACTCTTTAAAATAATCATAATGATGATGATAATAATAATAATTCCTCTTTAAAACATCAGTACCCCATGGGTTGGCTTTCCCAGTGGGCTTCCTTTCTGGTTGACAGCCCTTCCGCCTTTCTGATCATAGGTCAGCCTGCGAATTATCCCCAGAGACACAAAGGGCCACCAACACGCTTTAAGACCTGGGCATATTTTCTGGCTTAGCATTCAGACGCCATGTTTTGACACAGGGTTAGGCCGTGACACACATGTCGTGGTTTGTGTAACTAGCATTTTGTAAGTCAAACAGAATTAGAAAATTTAAACCGGATTATTGCCGACGGGAAGGCTAAGTGTTGTTTTGTGAAACTTCGATTTCGGATGTGAGTGCGTCGGGGGAGGGGACACTGTGGCATACAGCATCCTGTCGTCATTCCTGCAGTGGGTCACTGGCCAAGAATGTGGATAAACACTGTTGCAATGTATCCAGGCGAGTTTTGGGAGAGGCCATTTTATGCAATGACTCCTGTAAGTCACACAGGAAAACAACAGCCAAAATAACAATGACATAAACAATGAAGCTGGTAGGCAGGCGGGTGGGGGTGGGGGTCTGGAAGCATGAAAATGCACATCCCTGGGCTGGCTGCGCTACTTGAGATTAAACTCCTAGACGTGCACCTCCACAGGTAAGAGCAGCCCCTGGGTGCCTAGCCCGGCTTATGTTTAGAGAGTGATCCACACATCCGCCAGCCTTTCCTGATCCTGGAGAGAGACTCCTAAGGGATTAGCGGCTGGTCTTGCTTGCAGTGGGGAGGGAACAGTCGTGTGTTTGAAAGAGCTTTGTCTTTCGAGACAGACAGACCTGGGCTAGTTCTGCCACCTACCGGCCCTTGGGCAAAACATTCAAACCTCTCTAAGCCTCGGTTTCCTCATTTGTAAAATGGGCATGAAAATCTCTACTTTACAAGATGGCACCTGTAGCAGACAGCTTAATAAATGTTAGTTCCCCCAACTTACGTTGTACACTGTGGCTCCCACCTGCCACTAGGAAATAGAGGAGACCACCTCTTGGAGAGGTCTCTGCGGCTGCCCCATCACCATTACCTTGTGGATTGAGTGGTGCAAGGGGATACACTGATCCTGATGCTATACCCAGGACTCCAAAGAATTGGCTTGGGCAGGGATCCCGCCTCTCAGAGCTGCCATGCTCCTGCAAAGGGCCAGGTTGGGGCAGTGGCTTCCCCGTGGGAAGTCCCGTGGTGTCAGGGACTATCGCATCACCACCGAATCCTGACTATTCTGCCTTGGCAAGAGGCAGTGGCTTGTCCTTGAGGTTTGGGGTCCCTGGCTTTGTCTGCTTGTGGGATCCCCCTCCACTCACTTCCCCGTTTCTCTGCATAACTGGCACCTGTGACTCTCCCCCAGGTGGACGATCTCACCGCCAGCCATGAAGCTGCTCTCCTGGACATGGAGAACACCCACACGGTCGCCATCACGGTCCTGCAGGACGCCCATGACCACAAAGTCCAAGGTAGCTCCCACCGGACACTCAGCCGGCAAGGTGGGGCCGTGGGAACTGAGTCTTCCAGGAGCCTCGCCATTCCCTCTGCACCCCCCAACTCCCCCCCACCCCCATCTTCGCATGTGTGGGTTCCTGTGAAAAGGAGAGAGAAATCGAGGATCCGGGGAACACCTTCCTTCCTCCAAAGCCGTTATCCTCGACCTTGCTGAATACTGGCATCCCCTAGTTCCCTAGGAGCTGAGGCCGACTCCAGCCTCAGTCTCACCCTAGGGATTCTGACGTCACTGGTTCGGGGCACGAACTGGCCATCAAGATTTTTAAAGACTCCTTAGGGAGTTCTAATATGTGGCCGAGCTTAGGGACCGCTGTTCTAAAGCAGGCAAGGAAATCATAGGCTCTGTATTTTGTGGCTTTATTAGACTAAATGAACCCCCCCCGTGGATGCACTTGACCCCTGCTTGTGGGGTGCTCAGGCCACAGCAGCATCTGACTGGGTATGGGTCTTAAGAGCGTGCACTCAGAGACCTTGCCACCAGGTGCATGCGCTGAGTCTCCAGAACTTTCTTTTCATGTCTTTGGAATCTTGAATTCGCTTTGGATAATTAGGGTTTGATGTGGGCCATTACAGCAACATGACTAAATTCTAGTAAAATCTTCCTTTGTAAAAGAAGCAGCTTTTTACACTTTCACAAGCATTTGCATTAATATATGCACAATTTATTTTTAATTTCCCATCTTTTTACTTTTTCCCCTAGTCAGTTGGCTGGTAAAGTCTATGTTGAAAACAATGACATTTAACCATAGATTAACACATTTTTAAATGTGAATTGAGAATTTTAACATCAGAGTGTTTTATAATTGTAAAAACATTCTCTGTACACAACAAAACTCAGTGTGTGGTAATCAATGCTCGTGTTCTTGTCTCCCTGGCCCCCAATACCTCTGGGATCTATTAGCAAATGACAAAGTTCATGCTGGAGGCAAGGAACTCGTTAAATGTATTGTCTGTGTCCTGGTAGTGTGTCTCACACCCAGAGTACTGTCCCTACTCTTGGCTACACATTGGAACCACTTGGAGAGGTTTTAAAAATATACTGATGTATGGATCCCACCTCAGAGATTCCTTTTTATTTTACTTTATTCGGGAAGGGATCTCACTATGTGTTGCCCAGGCTGGTTTTGAACTCCTGGCCTCAAGGGATCCTTCCTCCTTGGCCTCCCAAAGCTCTGGGATTACAGACGTGAGCCACTGCACCTGGCAAGATTCAGTGGAATTGCTCAAAGGTACGACCCAGAAACCAGAAGGTTTTAACCCTTTCCAGGTGATTCCAACCTTTGTGAACCATTTTCTTAAGGTACATTGTTAGGCATGGAACAGGCTGCCATGAACTTGAAATAAAGAAATGCATTATGAGGACACAGATATTAGCAATGATTTATATCATTTTCAGAATATATTGCCTTTTCTTTTTTCTTGGGGCTTTGGGGTCCTCTGAAGACACCCCAAAAACTGCACTGTAGGAAACTGGTCTCAGGAAGGCAAATATGAATAGAAAATGGTGCCGTGAACCATGGTGTTGCCTGTGATTTCTGGATGTTTGCATAAATAGACCTGGTAGATTTTTCTGACTAATGAAGTCTCCTTAGACACCACATCCAAAGCCTTTGAATTATAGGTAACATCAAGGCCATGTGGGCGTATATAATGGTAGCAAAAAAGTTCATTTATGGTCAGGCGGATACTCTCAATGACTATTAGAATTAATCACTCAGGCAGGTAGACCAGAAAGTCACATGGTTTTATGTCAATGAAATCGGCACAAACGTTTTCTTCAAATGTAGCTCTCTGCTATAACCACTGGATTTCTGAGCAACCCTTACCACCATTATTTAAAAGGTTTGGGTCAATGAAAACCAGAGTTTTTCCTAATTGCAGTTCACAGCAGCCAGAATGGTAATTGTTGGTCGGCTGTGCTCTCCTGTTCTGAGCATCTAATCCAGGTTGATTAATGAGACCTTTCCTCCCTCTGGTTATAACATGAAAACAAATTGCTTATGTAGCTAGAATGAGACAGGCTTCACCCAGCTAATAAGACTCTTCCCATCTGGGGGAAAATAGAATCCATTTGCTTAATAACTCTTACATGACATCTTTATCTGCCTAACTTGCAAATTATTGCCGGGATGACACTTTTCACAGAACAGAACTGTCCCAAACTCTCCAAGAGGAACCAGCCCAATTAGTCCTTTCTTTTGCACGCATGTCTTCACACCGCATCTTGGCTGAAGCAAATCCCAGGGATCTGTGGTTCTCAGAGTGTGGCCCAGAGCACCAAGGTGCCCGTGTAGACAGCATGGTCCTGTCTGCCCATCCACTCTCCAGCAAACCCAGCTGGCAAGATGGCTGCCTGCAACTGCGCTTTCTTGGAAAACCCCTTCCTCAGCCCCCAATGCTGGGAAGGAAGAAAAAGTGGATTTAATATTAATTATCAGTCATCTTACCATTAGGGCAAGTGACAGAAACAATGAGTGAAGTCAACAAAGGACTTGACCTGGTCAGGATCGTCACATGGCAGGATGGAGAAGTGTGTGTGTGTGTGTGTGTGGGGGGGGGGGGGG